TAACATCGAGCATTGCAACATAGAAATCAAAACAGCAAATGCAGCAAATTAGCAAAGCGTTCATTCTATAATAGAGACAGAGACATAAGAGTTCATGAGTGCTTGTGTGTGTGTGCGTAAGATCAAATTTAATTGAAAGGCTTAGGCATGGATGGCCTGCGACTAATGCTCGACCATGATTGATGAAGTTGATTTGATTTTGTGTAGGCGCCAGCGACTGTTTGCCTGCTAATGGCAGTTCGAAAAAAAAAACTGAAATAATAAACAAACCCGTCGAGTTGGCTAATTAAATGGTAAACGTTTCGCATTTCAGTTGTTTGAAGGTATTCAAAATGAAGGCATCGACTTTGGATAAAATCAGCTGCTTCCTGGCCGAGCTGATGGGCACAGCCATTCTGGTGTTTCTCGGCTGCATGGGCTGCGTGAAAACAGATCTCTTTCCCAACAATCATTTGCAGATCATTCTGAACTTCGGCTTCGCTGTGCTCATTGCCATTCAGTGCTTTGGTTGTGTGTCGGGCGCCCATCTGAATCCCTCAGTCACGGTGGCGGCGTACATCTATGACCTGGTCTCGCTGCCCATGGCCTTTGTCTACTTTGTTGGCCAGATGCTGGGCGGCTTCATTGGCTATGGTCTGCTGATGGCCCTGCTGCCGCCATCCACGCTGAATGTGCCCAACGGCCTGTGCGTGACCCTGCCCCACTCGGAGGTCAACAATCTGCAGGCCTTCGGCATTGAGTTCGTTGCCACCGGCATTCTAGTTATCGTCTGCTGCGGCGTCTGGGATCCTCGCAATGCCAAGCACCACGATTCGGTGGCCATACGCTTTGGCCTGGCCATTGCCTGTTTGGCCTGTGCCGCGGTAAGTTCATCGTCTCACACATGACTGAGAGAGGAGATTTATTCTGAATATTCATGAATTTTCCTTACAGGGACCCTTCACGGGCGCCAGCATGAACCCAGCCAGATCTTTCGCGCCGGCGCTCTGGAACGGCAACTTCCTCAAGCACTGGATCTATTGGCTGGCACCGTTGAGCGGTGCTGGCATCACGGCTATCGCCTACAAGACCGTCTTCCGGCGAGAGGTGGTGGAGGCCCAGGTCGTCTCCGACGAGAAATTGCGTCAACTGGAGGACGTTCAGCTCTCATAGACAATTGTATAACAATGTGCCAAAGTTGCCCCACTGTACAGGGCAAACACACACACACACACATACACACTTAATGAAAATCTAATTAGTTCTAAGCTAAGATCGTTATCGACGACTTCTATGTTAGAGCAATTGTTGTACTGTAATAGAAATCATCGATTAATAAAGCATATAGAAATCTTTTCTATCTCGAGCAAGTTGGGTTTCTTCAGATGGACTGGGTGTGAAAATCATTAATAATATATATATATATATTACAATACATAATATATATTATAATACATAATATATAATAATAATAATATATACATACATAATATATATATTATAATACATATATAAATAAAACACAAATTGAAATATAGTAAAATGTTTTATTTTACTTATTTAAATAAATCAATAAATAATAAACCGTATTTATTTTTATTTATTTTCAAATTAATATAAATAATGATATATCCTAAATTTTTATTATTTATTGATTTTTTAAATATTTATTCAGTTCATTTGTGGCAGCTTATAGCTTAAGATTATATGCAATTTATATGTCAGTCTATACATCATATATCTAGGACTTATATGACGACTTATACGCCATATATTTAGACTTATCGATAGCAAATTCACACAATAGTATTACGACTTCTTTATGACATGGACGATCCTGTCTAATCATGAACTGTGGATGCCTAAAAGTAGGCCAGCATTGGGTGTTTCGGCAATCATGACTCAAACGTTCTGTGCGATAACTGCGCGTATTGGCCAGGTTGAGGCGCCATATTCATAGATCTCGGTTTGATAAGATTGGGCATTAAGTGGCACGCCGGGTGGCAATGTGGGCAAGGAATTCTCAGAGCTCGAAACATGATAAATTATCTATTAATTTGAGAATGGGGTTGACTAGACAATGACAATAGCAAATAGTGAAAAGCCCCATATCTAAGCGAAATAATAAAACAAAAAAAAACATAAAATTCTCATAATAATTAGCATTAAGGTTTTATAATTCATATTGATTGATTAGGGTCCAATTTAAAGTCGAAACCTTGCGCTGCTCGCAGCCAACACTAGGCTAACTAGGCCCACGAGCCCAGACAGTTGGCTCAGTTGTATTTGGCCAGTATGTCGCAGCAGAGGTTAACCATTAACGTTTCCACCACCAGCTCCAGGGCGCGATGGCGCTACCTCAAGCTGCGGGCCGAGAATCGAGCGCGAGTGGCCGCCTTCTTTGGCGAGCTGGTGGGCACGGCCACGTTCATATTCGTGGCCTGCATGGGCTGTGTGACCACGCCCCTGTTTTTCAACTCACACTTCGAGCTGAGCCTGAACTTCGGCCTGGCCATTCTGATTGCCATACAGAGCTTCGGCTCCATTTCGGGCGCCCATCTCAATCCGGCCATCACGCTGGCGGCCCTCATCTACGGCGTCCTCAACTGGTACATGGCCATAGCGTACCTGGTGGCCCAGGTGGCAGGCGGCCTGATTGGCTACGGCCTGCTGAAGGCTGTGCTGCCCCTGAACGCCATCGTGGGCGTGGACGAGCCGGCGGGCGTTTGTGTCACAGTGCTGAGCAAGGACATATCGGTGCTGCAGGGCGTCTTCATTGAGCTGCTGATCACCTGCTTCCTGACCATGGTCGCCTGCTCGGTGTGGGATCCGCGCAATGCCAAGCTAAAGGATTCGGTGCCCATTCGTTTCGGCCTGACAGTTTCGTGCCTGAACCTGGCGGCGGTATGAGTGTGATGAGAGCGTATTCGTAATTCGTACAATTTCAATTTCGATTCCCACAGGGCCTGTTCACTGGCTCCAGCATGAATCCGACCCGCTCGCTGGGCCCGGCGGTGTGGAACAATTCCTGGCAGAACCACTGGATCTACTGGGTGGGTCCGCTGGTTGGCGCCGCGATCACCTCGATCATCTATCGATTGGCATTCAAGGGCCGCAGCGAGGAAGTGCTTGAGCTGCGCACCTCAAATGCCCAAATCAACTTCATTGATAAGGTCTAGCGGGCGTGTTTAAGCTATATTAGCTTTAGGTGCAGTTTAAGTTTAATATAATCACATTAACTAAAACCAACAAAGTCTGCGACTTTAATTTATTTCTCTTCCGATTCCCTATGCTAGAGAAAACGTGTGCGATATGTTTATCAGCCTGAGAGGCGAAACTATTGCAGTGACAATAAAACGAGTGCTATAAAAAAAAATATTGTTAAAAATCTGACACTAATTAAAGTCTTGTATTAAAGAAGGTGTCTCAATAGACCGACAATCGATAAGATAGCTCGACGTCAGGAAAGCTATCAGATATATGTTTGTACATACATAGACATACTCATTTATGTTATTAAGATCAGCAAATTAGAGTTGTCTGGCTTGCCGAGACGCCAAGGTCTATCAGGGACAGAGTGGAAGAGTAGTTAATCTACTACTTTAAACTGTTCAACGTGCTTAAAGGTAGATCAATATATATATATTTTTATTATTAGTATTAATATTATCATTTTTTGATGCATTTGATAACGCTCGGAAACGAAAAACCCAGCCAACAAATGCCACATGACTGGACATCAGAAAAGGGATTTCAGTTGTAGAAAAATTTGTCAGTAATTCAGATAAATTGTCTCTAGGTAGTTAGTAATTTTTTAATTTTTTAACAGTTCAGTTTTATATCTTCTCTTTCTTTTTTTGCTATGCTTCTTCTTCTGCCCTCTGATGTACGTCATGTTGATAGATAGATTGTGTCAATATCATTTTTGATTGATATCCTAAAAATGGCATAAAACTAAGCCTATATAAAATTCCTTGAACGATCTCCAAGAAAAACCGACAACAAATAAAACGTGAAATTATGTGCCACATAAAGGGGAACGGATAGAAGTAGCGTAATATTGGTTAGGGTATATGCTAGTCGTGTCAACTCTTCACTCGAAATGAGTTTAATAATGTAATGAACAGAGAGTCGAAGATTGATATAATCTTGACTTGATTTAAGTTAAGCTTGACTATAAGCTTATATTCAACATAATAATAATTCAACATAGAAGAACCTTGCAGACATAGTCTTAGGATTGGCTGGGGTATACATATACATAATCATAATATATTAGAATAGGTTAGGGTATATAATAGTCGTAGCAGCTGTGCAGCTATGCTTAATCACATATTCCAAATGGATTTGCTAATCAGGAATGTTATTGGGCATAAATGCATATCACTGAACGGAATATAAAATAAAACCAATTTGTTTCTGAAGTGCTTTCCAACAGCTTTAGAGATGGTTATCAAAATTTTTAATAGTTCAGCAGACTAGGGTCTCAAAATGTGGGTCTATATGTACATACATACATATATATAGGAATATTAAGAATTAAGAACATATGTATATAAGTAGAGTTAGCTGATAATTGGTTTTAGCATTTGATAATTCGATAATTGATAATGGCCCTTGTTGAAGATTAATGCCCATTGCTGGAATGTAGCTGTGGGGGGGGCAGCGGGTGTGGTATATGGAGTATTGCAAGTACCTGTCAATGGGTTGAGTAGCAGCGTTAATCGGGCAACGACAACCACCGACAACCAACGACAACCGACCACCAACGACATCCGACCACCGACGCGACGGTGCAGTCTCCGAGTCAGATTCGCTGTCTTCAGTTGCGCGTTGAACTGCGTGGGGTTAGAACGTTCCGATTGATATTTGTTAATCGACGTAGCTGACAGAATGGTCGAGCAAAAAATTAAGACGAGGCAAGTGCCCTCAATGCGCGCGTGCCTGCTGCAGATTTCGTGTTTGATGAAGTCCAGGTCCTAATCCAGATCTCTGTACGATCTCTGTTCCTTCTCTTGCAGGAATGAAGCGCTCCAACATGTTGCCAGATTCTTTGGCGAGTTTTTCGGCACAGCCATCCTGGTTTACGTCGGCTGCTTGGGCTGCGCCCATTCATCGTCGATCAGTAACTCTGCGTTCCAGAACTCATTCGCGTTCGGCCTCGCCGTGCTCATCGCCATCCAGTCCTTTGGCTGTGTGTCGGGCGCCCACATCAATCCCACCGTGACGCTGGCCAGCTTGGTGTACGAGCAGATAACGTGGTTCATGGCCATTTACTATGTTGTGGCCCAGATACTTGGCGGCCTCATTGGCTACGGCCTGCTGGTTGCATCGCTGCCCAAAGAAATGATGACCAACGAGCTGACCCCTAGGGGTGCTTGTGTGACCTTCGTGTCCGACAAGTTACCCTTTTGGCAGGGCTTCATCATTGAGTTCCTCATCACGGCTGTTCTGATCTGTGTGTGCTGCGGTATTTGGGATCAACGCAATGCGGAGCTAAAGGATTCAATACCAATTCGCTTTGGCCTCACAATTGCCTGCATAGCCCTAGCTGGGGTACGTATATTATGCCACGCCTCCACATTACAATTGTTTAATTGATTTGCCTTTGGGTCTACAGTCACAGTACACTGGCGCCAGCATGAATCCGGCTCGTTCGCTTGCTCCAGCTGTGTGGAATAATTACTGGGAACATCATTGGATATACTGGGTCGCTCCCTTGGTATCGTCGTTAATCACCTCAGTAGCTTACAAGTACAGCTTTAGAAGTAAGCCAGAAAGCGAAGGCAAAGTGAATACTTCGCAGCCGTAGTTAGCCTTGGTCTGTGCATATATCCCAAAATGTCACTGGGCATATATATTTACATAGGTATATATGTAAATATATATGCCCAGTGACATTTTGGGATATGTGATATATATATATATATATATATATATATATATATATAAGAATTTTAGCTATAATTCGAAATAAAAAAAAAAAAAGTTAAGTATGAGCATGTATCACATAGTGAGTAAGAGACCTACAGAAAGTGTATATATTCTATGAAGTTTACATTACAAATGTATATTAGTAAAGCCCAAAAGAGTTCAAATTATGAAGTGTATTGATTTTCTGTTTGAATTGGTTAAAATTTGGTAAGCATAATCAATTTTTTTTTAAGATTATATGAAGAGAAACACCAGCGGGAAAACTTGGCTGAAAAATACCCAGGCCCTTAAATATATAGACATATGTATATTTTTATACATATATATTTTCCTTTAGAGACGAAGAAGTAGCAGCTCTGTTGCTATTTCAGATGGAGCCCCATATAATTTTTATCGAATCTTATCTTGTTGGCAGCATGTTACAATCGCTTCTGTGCCGTTAGCCAATAAATTATTTTAAATTACTTGTATTAGCGTATGTGATAGCTACGTAGATAAGACGCAATTTAAGAAATTTAAATTTCTCACATCTTAAATTTATCTTAGACATTCGTAGACATTAAAGCTGCACCCGCATGCCACATGCCATGGCCTGGCGGGGCAACAACTAATTGCTTCAGCGGGTGGATCATTGAGTACAATTATTAAGAGATGTGCACTTTTACATAGTAAATAAACATGCATACGTATATGTATTTATTTGGTCAAGTATAAAAAAAATAAAGCTTAGGGTTGGAGATACCTATTCCTTATCTCGGCATTTTCAATCGGTAGGGGTCGATAGCATGGTGTGTAGGCATAATGCCAAATTTGAGGCACAGCGAAGGCAGCTAATATTTGTCCGCCTAGCTGGAGCAATATAGACTCCGGATCGCCGTTAAACAGGTGTGGAATGAGCACTTTGGCTGGATTCATGGAGGCACCAGTGAGCTTGCCCTACAAAATCATACATTATGAAAACACAGCAGAGAGCGGAAAATCCAAGAGACTTACGCCTGCCAAATTGCATAGAGTAACCAGACAGCCCATGCGTAGGGTAACCGAGTCGAGAAAGCGTCCGCTACGCACATCCCACAGTGCGCTCCAGGCGAGTATCAGCACCGATGTGAGGAAGGTCTCAATGGCCACGATTTGTACATTGGACAGACTATCCAGTGGTTCCACAGTGCAAACGCCAAGCGTCAATCTTTGCGATAGCATTTCCAACAGCAGAAAGTATCCAAAAGCTGCTCCTGCCAACTGGCAGAAAACGTAGGTGACCATCATGCCGGACCCGATGTGGCCGAGTAGACAGCAAGCGATTGTCACGCACGGATTGGCATGCGCGCCCGATATAAATCCAAAGATATGCATTACCACAACAGTGGCCAGTCCGTAGGTCATGCTTGAGACTAAAGATCCGGCGGCATCCTGGTCGTTCATAGCACAGCCCATGCAGCTAATAATCATGAATACAGCTGTTGCGCTGAACTCGCCGAGTGCACGCGTGATTTCAAAACTATTGACTAACATTTTCGACCTCTGCAACATACAATTTGGTACCAGCAGAAAAAAATGTTTTATAGAAATCTATTTGTATGTGTGTACTGCTTGAGTCGGAATATGTTTATTTTCAAAAACAAATGTTGTGTACTCTGTATGATATCTATGCGTGTGCTTGGATGTATACAATAATGACTATGTTGAGCCTCTGACAGAATTCTGAACGTTTTGTGTTTTACAAAAAATTCACACTTTAAATTTTCCGCCTCCTGTCTTAGAAGATGATAGAATGATTTATATGCACATTAATAAATAGTAGACACAGCTTAAATTTTTCGTGCATGGCCTAAATGAAAAGGTCAGTTTTATATTTTATAAGCTAAAACGTGATGTTCAAATTTTCTTTCGTGTTTATGCGCTCATTACAGCCGTTAAATTCAAGCAGGCCAAATTGTGTCAACAAAATACCAAATGAAGCAGTATCTTATATATGGTCACACTAGAAGGAGCGTTGCCACATCGCGTTAGCTATAACAGAGTGGCAATTGGAGCGAGAACTGCAGACACGTATTTATTTATATTAGATGTTTTTTTATATAAATTCAATTGTGCCTAAATTAAGTAGTCAACGCAGTAAAGAACAAGTGCAGCAGGTGCCACACAATGTTTGCCAATCTGAAAAATAAACTCATCGAGGAGGTGAAAGCGTCGCCGTCCAAATTCCAACAATTTGCAAATGCAGCCCAGGCAAGATACAAAAAAAAAAAAAAAAAAATAAATGCAAATTAATGAAAACATACGCACACAAGCAAACTATTGTTTGTGTGAGAGTTTACTAGTGTGTGTGTGTGTGTTTGTCCTAATGGGGAGGTGATGCATCCAAATCAGTCAATGCAATTGAATAGTTCTATTTAATTTGACCCATTTGAATGAAACTGGCAGCTGGGTGCACACCCAACCCCCCTAGCACACACCCATACACAGCACAATCGCGCCGCATGACACACACACACACATGCAAGGGAATTTTATCGGTTTGCTTTATTGTAGGCCGCCGTGAGCTCATCGTCCAGCACAACAACACCAAGCTCAGAGAATACCGATACCGGTACTAATGAGAATTTCTTCAGCATCACGGAAGAGGGTAAAGTTGTAAACTATTTATTTTCTTATCAGCTCTATAAAGATATTGGTTTCTCTTTGGCAATTGTATAGACACGCCTCAAAACTCACCCTATCGCATACAGAAGCTGCCGCGCGGTGGCCGTGCATCGACGCAGTCACTGAATGGCATGGGCAGCGGCGCAATTCCGCGCACTCGGAAGCTCTCCAACTCGTCCATGGCCAGCGATGTATCGTTCCGTTTGCCCACATATGACGCGCCAGCGGTAAGTGCGTGGGCATCGCATGCTCGACTTATTTGACCTCGAACTAATGTTGCTCTCAAAAAACAGACGTACCACTTGCAGTCCGATTTGGATGAGACTAGCAGCGAGTTCGATGACTCCGCCTCGACAGCACGTCTGGATGTTATCACCAAGGATCAGCTGTACGATGCATATAAGAAGTCGCTTGATCGTTATCACAAATATCGTTGCCGGTACACGGACTTGGCCAAAAAGTACAAGGAACTGGAGCGGGACAGCAGCAAGGCGCGGGTATGAATACAAGACAAAATAGACAATCATTTGAATTTAGAGTATAGAATATGGACGTAAAGTCTAATTATATTTCTCTTTCAGGCAGTGCTTGTTGAGACGCAGGACAAGGCGCTGCGTCGCATAAGCGAGCTACGTGAACAATGTACACTGGAACAGCAGGCCAAGGCGCACTTGGAGGAGGCGCTGCGCATCGAAATGGACGACATGACCTGCAAGATGCAAGCCTACCAGACCAAGTTGAAGCTGTTAGGCGAGAATCCGGATAACGTTACAGCTGCACTGGAACGTGGTCAGGCAGACGCAGCTGACAAGCTGATCGATCTGGAAGAGCCAATAATAAAGCCAGTGACGGCGCCTACGTCTAATGGCAATCAGCCGCCGCAGGAATTAAACGACGAGCTGGCGAAACTACAAAAGTTGCTGGCAGAGCATGAGACTCAGTTGAAGCAGCTGACCAAAAATAATGAGGATGCCAACAATACAATTGTTGCGCTGCGCAAACAGGAAGAGGAAAATGTACTGCTGCTGGCGCAGACTAAACAAGCTATACACACAGAGCTGGAGCATAAGGAAACCCAGGTGCGCCAGCTGCAGGACACGGTAAAGCAACTGGAGACTGAGTTGGAAATCGCCAATGGCCGGGAAACACAGTCGGGTGACATCAAGGAGCAGCTGAAGAAATTACAAAGCGCAAAACAGGAAGTAGAGGCTAAACTTATTGCATCGGAGCATGTTCTGAGCACACTAAGAGGTGAACACGCGGAAAAGGAGCAACAGTTGGCAGCTCAGCAAAAGAAAATTGCGTCCGAGTTGGAGCACAAGGAGAAGGAGGTACAACAGCTGCAGGACAAGCTAAAGCAGCAACAAGCTGAGCTCGAGCAGGCAAAGAGTGGCAAGATCGAGGCAAATGACCTAAAGGAACAACTGCAGGCGCTACAAAATGCCAAACAGGAAGCTGAAGCAAAACTTGCTGCAACCGAACAACAATTGAATTCACTGAAAACGGAACTCACAGAAGGGAATCAACAAGTGTTGGCGCAGTTGGAAAAAACCAAATCTGCACTAGAGCAAAAAGTAGACCTAGTGCAACAGCTGAATGAAAAAGTTAAGCAGCAGGAAATCGAACTGGAGCTGGCCAACAGTCGGAGCACTCAAGCCGGCGATGTGAAAGAGCAATTAATGCAGTTGCAAAATGCCAAACAAGAAGCGGAGGCCCAGCTACTCATAGCGGAGCAGGAGTTGAACAAACTGAGGTTGGAGCACACGGAAAAGGAGCAACAGAGCGCCGAGCAGCAAAAGCAGTTGCAGTCCCAACTGGAGCACAATCAAAATGAGCTACAGCAATTGCAGGAGAAGCTGGCAAAACTGGAAACTGAACTGGAATTGTCCAAGTCGCATGTGACTGAAGCGGGAGACCTGAAGGAACAGCTGCAGAATGCCAAACAAGAAGCAGATGCCAAGGCGTCGGCACTGGAGGAACAACTAAGCATACTGAGAAACGAGAATGCGGAGAAGGCACAAAAAGTGGCTGCACTGGAAGAGGAACTCCGCAGGCTGAAGCTGGAGAGCGATCAGAGTTTGCAGGATTTGCGTTTGCATAACAAGCAGCTAAACGAAATTGTGCAGCGCAACCAGCAAAACGAATTAACGTTGACAGAGGTGCAGAGCCAGCTGGAGGACGCCAGAGTGCGGCTGGTGGAGCAAGAGCAGCGTGTGCTTGAGACCGAAAAGAGTCTCGAAGTGGAACGGGAAACGGTAGCCGCCTTAAGCGTGGAGAAATCCGCTGCCGAAGAGCAAACGCGCAAACTGCAACGTGAGCTGCAAGTGCTGAGCGAACAATATGCCAGCAGCAGCAATAGCGAATCGGAGGCGATGGCGTCGTTGAGGCTGCAGATCGAAGCACTCAATGAAGAGCTGAGCAAAGCCCAATCCAGCACACAGGCCAAAGACAAGGAGCTCAAGGCGAGCGGCAACAAACTGAACAAGCTGAAAAAGCAATACGAGCAGCTTCAGGCAAAGCACAGCGAGCAGGCAGCCAGCCTGGAGCAGCTTAAAGCCGAGTTGACCGGAGTTGAGGAGCTGCGCAGAGAGAAGCAGGAGTTGCAGGAACGCGTCACTGTAATACTCGAGGAGATAACAACGATGCAAACGCACCTGCAGGAAGTGCAAAGTGCGCAGACACAGCTGCAGGCCGAAAAACAACAGCTGGAGTCACACATTGAGGACTTGCAGCAGCAGCAACTGGAGCACAATGCCAAGGGTGAGCAGTCGACGGCCCGACTCGTTGAGATTGAGCGCGAGAACAGCAAATTGGCCGAGCACAACTGTCTGCTGCAGGAGCAGAACAATCACTTGCAGAAGCAGCAGGAGGAGCTCACCAGGCTGCAGACCAAACTGCAACAAGTGCTCGACGAGCACTCGAAGCTGCAAAATGCTCAAGAGATTATGGAGCACGATCACCGCACGCTGCAGGACAAATGTGATGCGTTCGAAAAGGAAAATCTGCTAGCGAAAGATGAGATCAACAGCTTGCAGCAGACCAAGTCCGCCCTGGAATCGCAGCGCAGCACTTTGCAGCTGGACTTGGAGCAGGCGCAGCAGCAGCTTTCAGAGGTGCGCGAACGGCAGCGAGAACTCAAACAGCAGCTGGAAGAGCAGACAGAGCGTTGCTCCGAGCTGGAGGGCAGCAAAGAGCAGCTGGTGACACTGCAGGAAACCATTCACAATTTACGCGAGCAACTGGAGGCGTCCAAGGAGCGAGAACAGGCGATGCTAGAAAAGGCTCAAGCCACAAGCGTAGCTCATGCAACACAGCTGGAAACGTTGGAGGCGCGCTGGAGTGCCGCCAATGCGGATGTTCATCGCTTGCTCGAAGCGAACGAAACGCTCCAGAAGGAAATTGAGACTTTGAAGAGCACGACGCTTTTGAAATCCGAATTCGAGCAACTTGAAATCGAGAACGAATACCTAAACAAGCACACCAAGCAGCTGGAGAAGGAACTCGCTACGGCACTGACTTCCCATGGCGACAGCGGAGAGAAACTGAAGTCGCTGCAGTGTGAGTTGTACGTGCTGCAGGAGCAGGTTGAACAGCATGCCAGCCAGCTGGCCGAGAAGGACTCAGAGGTCGCCGCTGCCAAGGCGGAGGCAGTGCAGCTAAAGTCGTCACTGGAGGAGCAGACTCTAGAGCTGACGCGTCAGACTGAGCACGCCAAGTTCGTTAGCGAGCAGAACGATACGGTGCAAAAGGAACTGTTGCATGCACAACAACAGCTGCAGGAACGCCAGACGGAGCTGTCCAAGGCGCAGGAGCATTGCCTCAGTCTCGAAGAGCAACTGAACAAGCTAAAGAGTGAACAGGAGCAGGCACCAGCCGCACTGCCAAACGATTCTGAGAATCTGCGCAGCCTAAACGAACAACTGCAGCGGGAACTGGAAGATCTAAAGCACAAAACAAATGGGGAGCAGACAAATCTCCAGCAGGAAATCGAAGAGCTGCAAGCCAACAATGAGGAAATGACTGAACGCATCATGGAACTGGAAAAGCTGCGCGCCGGCATTCAGGCCCAGCAGCTGCTGGCCAGCCTGGCACCCAAGAGCGCGCAGCAGGCGGCTGCCATCGATGAGAAGGCACAGCTGGAGGCAAAGCTGAAAGAAATCATGAACGAAGTGCAGGACGTGACCAATCGGAATCTGTTCCTCGAACAAAAATGCGAAAACTTCCTCATACTGGAGCAGTCCAATGAGCGTCTGAAGCTGCAAAACGCCAAATTGTCGCGTCAACTGGATGAAACATTGGTAATAATAGAATGAACTAAGGATAAGTTTCAGTAATATCTGAATTGTTGTTGTTGTCTTACAGGTATCCATGCAGCACAGTGATAGCGTGCCAGCTAACACGGAGTTCGAGTATCTGCGCAATATAATGTTCCAGGTAAGAATCATATAATATTGAAATGTAACATTTGAATACAACTATCTCTGTATATATTTGCAGTATTTAACCGGCAATACGAATAACGAGACTCTGGTAAAAGTCATATCGGCAGTGCTGAAATTTTCGCCACAGCAGGCACAGGTTGCCCTGGAGAAGGAGCATCAGCGACGCTCATTAGTATGTTTGATGAGATTTATGATATTAGAGAAACATTAATCATATGAATTGATTTTATGCACAGCTTAACAAACTGATCTAGCAAGAGTTGTTGGCAACCTACGGCAGCAGCGACTGGTGGCAGCCTTGCAATGAAACGCTTTTAGACTACAAACTGAAGCTGAACGTTTAGCCCAAGTTCACAAGTACCTTACCACAACTTAGTCACAAGTTGTTGCTCTAACTGCTGCTTAAAGGCTTTTCGACTTGGAGGCGGCGTAGTTAATAAATAATACTTACCTATGTATTGTGTGTATCATCTCCCTCTGCTTGTTGTACAGTCATGAAACTCTGATCGAAACAAACACTCTATTGTACATTTAAAATTATGCTAATCCTTATGTTGCTCGATTGACATAACACACACACACACTCCACGCTTCTCTGACTTAACGTGCAATCATTTTCAACATTTAATGTGTATTCCTTTCCAATTCAAGTTCATTTTAGTTCTAAGTGAAAAATTGTATAAATATCAATTGCAGTTGGCATTTAGTTTAATTAAAAAAATAAAAATAAATATATATATATATATTTACTATATACATACATACAAATAAATAGTTAAAATTGATACAAATTATCAACTCGAAATTCAAAACTATTTACGTTGATTCATGCCTTTGCTGCTAGCAGGTACAAATACCGGCGCTCGACAAAGCTGCGCAGCATAGCGCGTGTCATCGGTGACAGTGGATAAGTGGGTTTGTAGCCCTGGAGGGCATCTACAACGAATTCGTAGCCGAATCGCTGCATGCGTAGTATGGCCTGGACGGCTGCCTCCTGGACGCCAGGCCGCGGCACCGCCACGATGATCCGTTTGAAGAGCGTTAAGTAGGTAGTGAGATCCACATTACTGTCCAGATGCTGTTGCTTGGCAATCATCGATGTGCACTGCAGCAGGCATTCCATGCGCGCATCGTACTCCTCAGTTTGTACGCACAAATCACAGTAGTTCGTCACCAGCGCGATCAGTTGTTTCATTAGCATGTTGGTCACGTTCAGTTGGATGCTTCGTCTGCAGAAGAGGGCAAAGGCATAGCTTAGCTCATGCGTGCGCCCCGCTTTAATTTTCTCGATCAGATTCTCGATCACATCCTGCTTCTTTGGCTTAAAGGGCTGGAAGTGATATTCGTATCGCAGCTTGGATATCAGTGCACGATCGGGTCCGTTTGGATCGCTGACATTGTACGTATTGCACATGAGCAGATGCTTTATGACCGTGATCAATGGATCACTGTGATCATACGATTGTTCCTCGCGATGTGGCAGCACAGTGGGATAATGACAGAGCACCTCCATCACCAATAGCGACATTTGCTTGCTGTAGTGGTAGAGTATTTTGGCTAGGAACAGGCGCGCTGGATTCTCATAGCTCTCGACGGGATTGGCTTGCATTGCTTGCAGTCCAATCAATTGTAAATAGAGCTTTACACACATGAATGCCGCTGGATCGGTAAGCCTATCCTTCGCCTTGAACAAACGCTGCTCCAATATTTTCATGAAGTGTCCTATAAACGAGTTCTTCTCACACTGCAATTGTTTGATCAGCGTCAGCGTACGTTGCATGACAATCGTATTGTTTACAGTTTCGTCGCTTGCTTCACTATATGCCGCTATTAAGGCAATGATTATATATTGGTCGTCTATTCCCTTATACTGAATAGACGTCGGTTCCAACTCGTCTGACTGTTTCAAATATTCGCGTAACTGAGAATTTAGCATATCCACCCTCCTTTTTGGCTTGTTAGTCTGGTGCTTCTTGGGCTCTGCCTTATACGCGTTGATCATGTAGGATATCAGCGGCTTTGGCGCACCCAGGCTTCTTTTGCCCCCAGGTAAGTTCAGTGGAATTTCTATGGGCTCGCTGCCAATCGCTTCGCAGCTATCCGGCAGAGTGGGCGACATAGGCGAGCTTTCATATAGACAGCTTTCCTGCACTGCTATTCCACTGCTCGACTCTTGATCATCCGCATCCAGCTGCAGCTGCTTAGCCTGCAAGCGCGTGAGACGCTTCGAGGTGCACTGTGATTCGAATGAGTCATTCATGCTGCAGTGTTGCTTGGGTTTTCCAGGCGGCTTTCTATTTTGCTGCTTATCCTCATCGGAATGCTCCGGGGCGACAAGTGCATCAGAGCCATTCAATTCGGACAAACTGCTAAATGAACTGCATATCACAGTCGGGCTTTCAATATTATCTTGCAGACATGTGTTGTCATCATCATGACCGGAATCGCTGTGATGACCGCCATTGCTGACTGGGTTCTGGTCCATGGTGTCCACATCGGATTCGCTTGGATCCTCAGACATTTCATTCATGTACTGATCAATCAATACTGATGGTAAAGTCTCGTTAATGTATTCGTTATCGGGCTGAATGTCTTCATTGATAATTAAACCTCTTTCCCCGCTGTCCGCATCGTGATCTGATTCATCATTTATCGTGAGCTGGGACGCGACTGTTTCACATATGATTGTGCTTGTCTCTAGTTTTTTGATCTCAGTAGGAATAATCACAGCCAATTTGTCTGCATCCATATCATGACGATCCGTACCATTCTCAAGATCATCGAATACTGATTTCTTGTCCACACTTTGATTGGAATCGACTGATTCCTCATTTGATGTTGACTTTTTCTTGAGTGCAATACGCTTGCTTGCTCTTCGTATGCATTTCACCGGAGGAACTGTGACAGCAACCTGTGAAGGCTGCTTTGCACCAGCACTGCGAAGTTTTGTATCCTCCGCATGAGGACGGCCAACGCTGGTGACTGCAGTCTCTTCGCCAGATTCAGACATAGACTTATATGAGCTACGTTTACGTCTATTGCTTGTTTTGTT